GTGTGTGTGCGCGCGCGCGTGGTGGTGGTGGTGGTGGTGGGGTTCTCATCCCGATTTTCTAACAGATGTATACCTATTAAGGCAGATTTACCCAGGGAACAGGGCGCTATTTGCCCAGTGGACCATTGCTGTGTGATGAAAGTGTCTGAGTGAATTTTTAAACAAGGTATCTTCTCTGCCTTAAAAAAAAGAGAAAGCAGCCCTTACTTCTACCATTTGTTAAGATTTCTCTTGCCGCCTTCTACTTACTGATACTTTAACTGGGGGGTGGGGCGCGCGCGCATGCACACACACACACACACACACTCACACACACACACACACACACACACATGTCTGGATGGTACCCATAAAAGACTGGCCTTCTTCATTCTTTTGAGTTCCAAAGATTGTTAATGGAAGGCAACCGAGAACTTCTTGTCTATTGCTTCAGGAACCTTCAACCCTCAACTTCTACCAATACAGTTAGGTGTCCCTACTTGGAAACAAAGTAATCAACCCAAGCTTGGAAAATTCTTTCACAAAGAAAAGATGTTCTTTACTCTGACCCTCAGCCCCAGTTTTTGAGGCACGACTGTTCAAAACGTTGGGCCAAAAGTTTACAGTCATAGGCCCTGGTGGCTTAGTGTGTTAAGCTCTGGGCTGCTAACCTCAAGGTCAGCACTTCGAAACCCCCTGCCACTCTGAGGGAGGAAATGAGGCTTTCCACTTCGTAAAGAGTTACAGTCTGGGAGACCCACTGGGACAGTTCCATGTCATCCTATAGTCCTACACCCTGTCCTTTCTTTCAGAATTGACTTAACGGCCCACAGGTTGGAATTTGAAGCTTATGGACTTCCCTAAGCAATTCTCCACTTTCCTGCAGTGTGACTATGTGCTGGAAACTTGTCTAGCACTGTACCTATACTGGTATATTTAACCCTCCAAACCATCCTCCCAGTTAAGTGCCATTATTATCCCACTTAACAGATGAAGAAACTGAAGCAACGGGAAGTTCAATACCTTAGATAAAACCACCAAAGACTGATCTTAGACCCTGAACAGAGCAAAGCATATTGGAATGGAGAGGGAACCAGGGGTTGGGTGAGGACTGATAGGAAATGTGTTCTCATATATGTCTCCCTTTCTGTTTAACTCACACTTTAAGGTTTTAATCTCAACTCAACAGATTGTTTGGAAAGAAAGCCTCCTTCTTGTCAGACCTTAAGCCTTTGGGGAGAAGATTCCCTGGGGAGTAGCAAAACAACCACCCAGTGCCCCTGTGCCCTTGCATCTCTCTCTAGTTTCCCAAACTCCTTGCCCAGGCAACCGACATAAAAGGGAGTGGCAGGGTATCATAAGTCACTCTTTCTCGGCTTCCCCAAATCTAAGGAATCTGCTTGTATAGGTAAAGCAGCTTCTTATGAAAAAACACCTAGTAAATTAAGAATCAAAAGGAAGTCTTCTCTAAATGGACTTTTCCAACAGAAAACAGCTAGAGGTGGAAGATTCTGCTGCTTCTATTTTGCTGACTGCCCTAAATTTCGCCCCCCCCCTCCGAAATTTAATTCCAGTGTCAGAGAAGAGAGGCAGGAAGGGAACATAACCAGTAAGGTGCAAATATCTCTTCTGTTTACCATCATCATATTTTTGAAAGGAAAAAAGCAGTCTGCAAAAGATCCGTGGTAGATGCCCATCCAGATCCCAACTCACTTGGGATTACTGACTTGATTTGTGCAAAATAAAATGCTTTAGAACAGATGTTCACAACAGAACTAAAAGCTCAAAATCAACAGGACGTTCCTCCAACATCTCTGGTCTCCTGAGCCTCACACTTTGTACAGTGCTGGGCCCACCCTTTTAGATGGTGAGGACTACAGGAGCCCAGGTGTCTGTACTGGGAATCTTACTGAGAGGCTGGCTTTGGCATGATACATAAGATGATAACAGGCATTACTATCAATGACCTTCTTTTGAATTTGTTATAAAATCTCAGGTGGGAAGGTTGGTGGTGGAATAGAGACAGTCGCTTCTCTGGGTCTCCATACATTTCATCTGTCCCTCATCAAAGATAATTTCAACTTTATGTCTGTATCCCAAGCAGTCAAATGAAGGTTTGTGTACCATTTCCTTTTATGATCTGAACAAAGTGGGGAGACCCGCCCCACCCCCACAATCCAGATTCAGTTTTTGCTATATAGCACTCTTTGCCCTCGGGCACTGTGCCTGGAACCTGAGTGGCAACGCTGGAACAAGCCCAGAAGTCCGTTCAGTTTACTGATGACCCCAGAGAACAGCCTTTTGACAGAAAACAAATGGAAACAGACAAGGGAGTGTGGAGGAAAGGTAACCAACGTGTTTAAGAAAAATGCACCTACTAGATTCAAAAGACAAAAGAATGTTGAAGCTTGTAAGTCATGCTCAGCAACAACACCTGAGTCCTTCCGAAAGCCTGAAACCACCTTCACAGCGGTTCTGCTCCCATGCTGGCCTTTGGTGGGTGCATGTTTTTTTTTTTTTTCATTCAGGCCAGTAAACCTGCACAGGAAATCCTATTACACAAAACTTGGAAATGGGTAAATACAAGTCACATATGCCAAGGAGACTAACAACTGCCAGAGCCACATGCACTTTCAGGCAGAATCGGGCCAGTTTCAGACAGACATTCTGAGCTGAGCATCTGCAGCGCCACATACAACTCCTGCTCCACAGAATCCAATCCGGACAGTTTCCCCCCAACTAGCCAGGCAACAACTTGGTACTTCATAGGAAAGCTAAATATAGGTGCAGGAAACTTTCACCCAAACCACAGGGATCAAGTCAGAAGGTCACCAGAGAGAAAGGAAACTGACAAAAAGGAAAAGGAAAACCTTGAACCGACACCTAACCTGTCTTCACACATTCTAGTTTCCCAAAGCCTGCAACCTAACAATCCACCTTCCACCCGAAAGCCCAACTCCACAGCTAGTTGAGAAGGAAGGTGCAAAATTACTTACGTGTCATAATTATCTCGAAATCCTTTTGCAAAAGGGTTATGGTCTATTTTCAGCTGTGTAATCTGGGAAAGGGAAGGGGGGAAAAAGACGATGTGAGCTCTGATACTGTATAGGAGGATTGTTTGAGAATGTATCAACTGCCACTTTATACAGAGGTTGGTGAGAGAGAGCCTTCAATCTCATTAAGTAACAAGGTTTCCCTAACTACAAAAACTGAGATCACAGATGTAAGAAAAGAAGAAAAAGTATCATCAATGTTCAGAAGGACATGTTCACATTATTGTCTAAGACTAAAGGATTGATTGCTTTCCATGAGCTCCAGGGTGCATTCTAAATTGCTGCAAATGCACGTTTGAAAAATACTTCTTACACACCATGCACTCACATAATCGGACAAAAATCTTTATGTGGAACTTGAATGCATCACCAAATGGCTGACTATTCTAAATGTTTTAACATATTTTAAAAGTTGGTCCCATTTGATACATAACCAGAGGATTCCACAAGTGCACCTCCCCATCAGATTGGATTTACAATAAAAGCGTGGTTTTGTTCCTGATATTTTCAGATATGTAAAGCAAACCAAAGCATCAGTCCTCTTGACAGCATGAGCAGTTAGAGTCAGTTTTTGGAAACTTAACAAACGTTGAATGGGTGCTACAGAACTCATTTCAAAGCAGCGCGTATTTTAGTGCATTGCACTTGTTACATATGTGGATGTGTGTGTGCTTTCCCTGAACAATGATGTTTGTTCATTTCAGCCATCCTTTCTAAGTCTATTTTTTACTTTTTTTTAAAGATAATGCCCAAGCTTTCCAAGAATAACACGCAAGGGGGTGGGCTGAGTAATGGGACTATGCTTGTTTTAAAAAGGGAAGAACTTGAACAACGACCTCAAAATAGGTTTTACTTTGTTCTGACTTGAGGGCCAAAAGAGGCCCCAGATATCCGGGTCAGTTCAAGGCGGGCCAGGGAGGTCGTCTCAGAGACAAATAGGACGCGTTGGCACTGCGATTCTCAGGGAGAGACCCTGGCAGGCCCTCAGACCTAAAGCCCGGGGCCGGCCAGCTCCTACTGCCGCGGGAGTGCCGCGCCCGGCCTGCCCGGGGCCCGCAAATGCCAGCGCCACACAATGCCCGCCGCGCGCCGGGTCCCGGCTCCTTACATCGGTGTTCTGATAGGCGGTGACCGCGATGAACTGTGTCTCGGGGAAGGTGAATGTCTGCACACGGCCGGGCTGACTGGTGTCCTCCGTGCCGTCCTCGTTCACTTCCACCACGTGCAGGCGGGGCTGGTACTTGTGCAAGGATTGTAAGACCACCATCTGTCCCGCGGGGAGAAAGGGGAGCGCCGGGCAGTGAGTTAGCGCGCTCGGTCCGGGGAGGCCCCGGGTGGCTGCAGCGGCGCGGGGGGGAGCCCACGGGCCCACCCACCTCGGAGAACTAGATCGGCCCAGC